CCAGGACAGGGTGGGAGGAGAGGGACGAGCTCCAGGGGTGGGATAGGGTGGGATTAACTCCCAGGACAGGGTGGGAGGAGAGAGAATTGCCACACGGACACAGCAAAGCAGCCCTGGGGCAGGGCCGAGTGTGGAAGGTGTCACCGGAGCGGATGAAGGTCAGGGTGGCTCTGGAGATGCTCTCCACAGTTAAAATACAAAAACCTGGGGGGAAAGAAAGCACAGCCTTCTCAAGGAACCACGCAGAAACGGTGGGCACAGTCACACAGTGAGAAAACCTCAGGCAGAGGAGCACTGAACAAGGAAAAATCAGTTTTTAATTTCTGCTGCCACCACAGTTTGGGATAAAACCCTTCGGATGGCACGAGCAGGAATGCAGGATCTGCAGGGATCTGCAGGATCTGCAGGGATCTGCAGGGATCTGCAGTGCCAGGCTCCAGGTGCTCCTGGGGGAAGCCTGGGGGTGCTGGTGGCTTTATCTGCATATCCACTGCTGCTTTGAAATGCACACACTACTAATCCCTCTCCTAAGGCAAGCAATAAGACAAGCTCAAAAGGCCAAACACAAACCAAACAGAAGCAGGAAGTCCCATATGGAAAGAGAAAAAAGGAGAAGGGAAAAAAAAAAAAAGAAGTTGAAGTGACCAGCAAATTCAACTATAAATGGGTCTTTCTCCCTGCCCCCTGAAAAAGTTGTGAAAATTATTAATTTTAAACTGAAATTTTGAGGAAACAGGCTGCCTCCCTCCCTCCATGGCAGCTCTGACAGTTTTTTTGGTGCATTTCAGCCTGTTGCATCAATTATTTCCAGGTCAGGGGATGCAGCTGACAGAGCTCAACTTTATTCCACTTCAAGCACTCCCAGAGCAGCTGAAATGACCAGTTGGAAAGAATGGAAAACCCAAGTGGTGCTTCCTGACAACGTCCAGTGTCCAAACTCAGTAACTGCTTGACTGAGATAATCAAACCAAAACCACCCCACAACTGCTGGGGACATTCACTGACAAGATTTTTCTGCCAAAGCTCTGCAGCCTCATTCCTCTCCCCAGCCAACAAAACCTAATTTTTAAACCCACAATGCAAAGACCCAAGGCCAGAACCCACATCCAGAAACTAACCATGGACTATTTTCAGATGGTTAAAATCCTTTCTGCCATTGACAGGACACTTTTCAAATCAAAATTCATAGATGAACCAGAGTGAAACATCGCTAAATAAACAAAATAGTTTCCCAATAGTGTAAAATACTGAGGTTAAAACTATTCCCACTCTACAACAAGATGAAAATAAACTGCCCAGGGTGGGGGGTGGTTTCTCCCTCAGGCTCACCAGTACACTGAGACCAAACTAAGGATATTCTGGGGTGGGAATTCCAGAATTTTTGTCCCAACTGCCCAGTTTGCTGCCACAAAAATTCAAACGTAACCTCGCTGTGTCAGGACCTCCAAAACCCTGCCAGAATCTGCCCTCCTGGTTTATTAATGGCTTTTGGGGCCAACCTGGAAGCTCAAGCACCAGAGATGCCAACTCCTGTGGCTGGGAAGGAATGATCAGCCTGGTGGGAACCCCTCCATCCATCCCAAAGACATCAGGAGCTCCTTCAAGGCAGCCCATGAGGCAGAGACTGGGGCAAGGTAAAACCCATCCCAAGTTCCATAATGAGAGACAAAATGCTTCCCAACAAACATAAAACTCCAAAGATCTCTGCAGCAGGGCTGGTCTGCAATCCAAACCCAAAGGGATGTCCCAGCACCCAACCTGCTTCTCCCAGAGCTGCTTCCAGCAGCTGCCACAGGCAATTTCCAGATTGCCTGGAAATGTTTGACTCCTTCAGCCTCAAAATCCAGGACTCAAAGGCACTGAATAAACTGGATACAACTCTCCAGGAAGAATTTCTTTGCTAAGGAGAAGAAACTAGGGAATCTCCTGGGAGAAACAGATCTATCCCAAGGATTACTATTCCTCTATTACACCCAGACACAAAGGGCTGTACTTCACTTCTCCTGTGCAATTGCAATCTAAGTTTAGTTTGGCTGCAATCCTGATGGAGACTCCCTAGGGAAGCAGTGAATTTTACAGAGAAATTCCTCAGCTTGCCTGCTACAGGAAGGGAGAGCAGCCAGGACACTCACAGGGAGGCAGGGCTCTTCAAAAGGCACCAGGGAGAAAGTTTAGTTAATGACACAACAATCCTGACTGGGAAGGGATCCTGAAGGCCCCACCCAGAACGATCCACGGGACATTCCTCAGGCAGATCCCAAAAACAACTTGGCAATGTCCCTGCCAGGAGATCAGCACCTCCTAAAGGGGTGATGGACAGCCAAAGGAATATTCCCCCTTTACTGTTTACAATTCCAACGTGAACACTGAGGCACAATTTCAATGTGTAAAGGCCAAGGACTTGTAAAGGCACAGAAATTTTTAACACTTCCCAAGAACCTAAAAAGCAGGAACCTCCTTTTCCTGCTGGGGCTGAGCTGTTTTTAATTAAGGATGAAGCATGGCATGATTTGCCCCAGTTCCAGGATACCCAGTGAGCTTTTCCACAGCACCCACCAGGCCTGGGAGAGGGCTCAGGACCCCGTAACAAAATTAAAAGCCCACACACAAACTCTGCTCCTCTAAGTCATCCATAATGGCAAAACAGGGATCTGGGAATCCTCCTGAGCAGGATAAAACTTTCTCAACTAGACAGACTGAGCAATATCAGGAAGATAAAAAGAAATTGATAGTGCCCTTGCACGGAGCTCTTGTGCTCCTGAGCATCCCCAGGCCAAACTCGGCGCAGGAGATTGATCACTGCAAACTGGAACGAGGATTTGGCTGCCAGCATCCCAGAGATGCTGCCTTTCAACACCCCACAGCATCCCTGCCTGAAGCCTTCCCCAGCTGGTGCTGCTCTTGTCCTACAGGATCCCAAAGATTACGAAAGGTGGATAAGTGAGGCTCCTTTTTTTAATTTTTTGCCTACTAAGGAAGAGAAAGGCCAAAAATACACCAGGGTTGGGTAAGCTAAGGACTGCTTGATTTCTTAAATGCAAATTATTTGGTGGTAAAGCCAGGAAAACCAGATATTCCCTTGTTTCTAGGTTCCTCCACTCTTGCAGCTGAGATTGGATTTCTTTTCTTAGACTACTCCTGAGAAGGGACAACTTGAAAAGGGCCAAATATATTTAACCACAAGGTATAAAACAAACTCCCACTTGGTGCTGAGAAGGAGCCACTTCTGCAAAGCCTCGTTACTAATTCCTATAATCCGAGTCAGAGGGATCAGTAGGATTCAGGGAGGCTCCATCAGCAGTGCCTCTGAAAGGACTTCCCACCGTTCTGAGCTACAGCAATTTCTTCAATTACTTCAGTGGCTTCACTTCTCCCGCGCTCCTCGCCAGAAGATGGGTCACATGGAAGAACTTGTGGAGAGGCAGAGTGGAAAGAAACATGCTATTTAAAAAGATTTATTTTTTTTTCCCACCCCCCCAGGCCTCAGAACAAATTAAATCTTTGTAATCAGGGTCCAAAAGGCAAAAAAAAATAAAAAATAAAAAGAAGAAGAGGGAAGAAAAAGCAACAACCCACAGCTACTCCCATTAGGTGGTCAGAACTAGAATCACTTTGTGTTTTGGGTGACAATTTGTACCCACGATCTGAAGGCATTATTTCAAGGGGCTCATAACAAAGCTGTTCTCATTGCTGGGAGCAAAAATAACTCAGCTCTACACACAGCTCGCTCCTCTGGCCAATCCAGGGTTTCCTGGATCCAGCTCCCTGCACTGACTTAGCCACTGGCTAAAGGGAAAAATAAAAGCTCCCTCACTTCCTATTGGTTAGAATAAAAGTTACCAGCAAAATTGAAACTCAGCAGCTCCAAACTCTTCTTCCAGGCCAGAGGCACAGACCAACTTTTGCAAGCTAACCTAAACTTTCAACCCTTCTCTTGTTTTCTTGATGTTTTAAGACAAAATTAAACGACTCTGGCCCAAAACCCGCTGGAACCCTGGGCACAAACCTCATCCCCAGCTGGTCACTGCACATTCAGATTTAGGATGCCAAAGGAAATATAATTCTCCATCTGCCAAGGAAGGAGCTACGATGGGACTGATCTTCCTCACTCCAGATACCAATCAATTTGTCTTTTTCACCAACTGCTCAGCCAGACTGGACCAGAGAAGCTTAAATCAGCAGCATTAGGGTCCAGTGAGACAGACAGTGGTGCTCCAGTGGCAACCACCAGAGGTTCCAGTGCCACAGTGGGCCAAGGAACAGGAAAATAAGGTAAAAATGAGGATTTTCCCTGGAGGTCAGGGCCTCCTCTGACAGACACTGCACACAGAGAGCTCACAGAATTAACTGCTTTGGGTAGAACCTGCAGACCAGAGCACTCAGGGTTAAACTCCCCTCTCAAATCCATTACTTTTGTAAATTACATTCAATCTCCAGTGGGAAGCCAGAAGCTAATGACTTAGTAAAAAGCACAGGCAGCCTCCATCGTTCCCATTTCCACGTGGAATACTACCAGTGCTCATTTCTCCTGCTGTGCTCCTGATTGCCCTCGGCCCAGGCCCCACTCACCGGCAGGCTGGAAGGTCTGGACTGAAGATTCAAGTTCATGTCTTCTTGCCCTTTACTGGAAGCCATTGAGGGAGCAGAGGATGCCTGGGACCCAAACGAGTCTTGAGATAACTCCTGAAACATCAAGAAACACACCAAAAAAAGTCACAAGTGGGAATACAATAAAGGCCCTGTTGGAATCACTCTGGGATGTTCTCACATCGGGGCAGATTTACTGTAAATTTACATTTACAAATGTCCCCTTGGTGACATTTGCCCAAGACAGGAGGTGAGAGCCAGCACACACAAACACTACCAGGTGCTGCTCAGAGCTGGGAGCACAGGCCATGACAGAACAGCCGTTCTCCAGCTTTCCCTCATCCCAGATCCTGGGGATCACAGCTTGTCCTCCATCTGCCCCTCTGCTTCTTCACCTTCTCACCCTCGCTCCAGGTACCTCACCACGAACCAGGCGAGTCAATTAAACCCTTCAGCTTCCCCCAGGCCGCCCTGGCTGTGCTGAGGGCTTTGCTGAAAGGTCCCAGGCAGCCAAGTTTGACTTTTGCCGGTTTCTCTGTGAGCCGCAGGAGAAGGCACCAGCTCTGGCCACTTTGTGCCGCCAGGCACAACCCAAGCCGTGTTTTGGGAAATGGGAAGGTTTTCCCCGATATTCCCAAGAGCACCCCAGAGAGGGAAGCGGAGCAGGAGGCGCCTACCTGAGGCGGGGGGAAGCGCTGCTGGGAGTAGGCCGAGGGCTGCTGCGGCGGCTGCGCCGGCGCGTACGACGAGGAGGCCTGGGCCAGCCCCGAGGGGGCCGCGGGCTGCTGCGCCTGCTGCTGCTGGTACGGCGACTGGGACTGCTGCTGAGGGTAGGGGGGCTGGCTCTGGGGGTGCTGCGGGGCCGGCTGCTGCGGGTACGGGCTGGGGGGCTGCTGCGCCGGCTGCTGCGAGTACGCCGGCTGCGCCGAGGGCAGCGCCGGGGCCGGGGGCTGAGCCGCCTGCTGCTGCTGCTGCTGCTGTTGCTGCTGCTGCTGCTGCTGCTGCTGGTACGAGGGCTGGGAGTGCGAGGGCTGTGCTGGAGGCTGCTGAGGGTAGGGAGGCTGCTGCTGCTGCGGGTGAGGGCTCTGCTGGTTGTAGTAGGGTGTCTGGCTCTGCTGCCCGTACGCGCTGGGGCCCTGCTGCCCGTACGGAGGCATCTGCGGAGGGAGAGATGGAGTTGCGCCCGTCACAAAGTTGTGCTTCTCACACGCACAGACTCTGCTCCCAGAGTGGAAATTCAGAAAGCTGTGCAGAGCAGGAATGCACTGGAGATGCCACTACCTCGATACCTCCCGGACAACAGCAGAAGTTGCTCGTGTGTGACATTATTCTTGGCGGTAACCAAGCTTTAAGAGGCATCATCGATAAGTTTTTAGGGATCCCTATCTGACCACCCTTCAGCAAAAGTAACATTAAAAGGAAAGACTGCTTGCTCTAACAAAAAAAAAACCTAAAAATTGCCTTTTGAATCCTGCAAACGGTCCAGCAGGCGCCACTTGGATCATGTAATGAGCCAAAACTGACCTGGAGTAATTTCTTGTGCAAAGAACAGCTGTGTCTCTAACACAGCGCAGCAGAAAGAGGATCTCCCTCCCCTGCTATTTATTTTTCCCCTGCTGGATTCACTGCTCTCTTGGAGACAAGGATTCCACAGGCTATCCATCCCACCTGGAAGCAGGTGTGGTACCAAACAGAGCCTGCAGAAATGCCATTTTCCCTAAATACCCGATCCAGCCCGGCTGGGGGGAGCGAGGGCCGCGTCTCTGCCCGTCCAGCTGTGCCAGGCTGTGGGAGCTGTACCTGTTGTGCATAGGAGATGCTGCCCATGGTGCTCTGTGTCCTGCTCTGCATTGCCATGGGGTATCTCTGCGTGGCCTGGGGCCCGTAGGGCTGCCCGGGGTAGCCGTGGCCCTGCTGCGGCCCTGTCTGCGGCCCCTGCTGCTGCGTGTAGGGGTTGTTCCCTCCGTAGGGCTGAGGCCTCATCTTCCCCATCTGGTCCATCGGGCTCGACGGCTGCAAGGCAAGGCAGGACAGGTGAGGCACGGGAACTGCTCCTGGAACACCTTGCCCAAAGGCCCGGCAGAAAACTCCCACCAGGAGAGGCTCGCCTGCCTCTGCCCGGCTGCTAAACCACAAAGGTACATTTGGAATTTCAGCAGGGTTCCTGCTGCCCTTCCAAACACACCATTCCACCAACACCAAACCCATTTCATGCTGACACCTCTCCCAGGGCAAGACAGGGGAGAATGGGGGAAGGACTGAGAAAAAGCAATGATCAGTGTAATGTTCCCCATTGCAGGTAGTAGTTTAATGTCCAGATATTCCACAACAAGGTAAATTTAGGCTGAAAATTTAAATATTCACAGGAAACACTGCTTCTTTCACGTATAACAAGGTCTCCCAAAACACTACAGGCTGTTAATTTACACTTGTGCATTTCAATTAATGCACATTGATGTAGTAACACTGGGCAGTGCTGCTGACATCCACAGCCTTCAAGACTGCAGTTTCATTTTTGAATTTTTTTTTTTTTACATGTGCTTTGTGTCTGCTGCCTTTTGGAGAATAAAGAGTTTCTAAATCAAATTTATTCAGATATACGTTAAAAAAACTGTCGGCCTCAAAAGTCAGGTCCCTGAGCTTTAGAGACAATGAGATGAGTGAAGAAATGCAACTTTCTTTGGACTTCTTCATCTGTACTACCCCTGCCTGGAGCCAAGATTTAGGAACAGTCAATCGAATTTCCTGAAAATGCTGTAAACCTCGACACTATAAACCTCAAAACAGGTTGTTTTTTTTTCACCTTGGCAGTTATTCCCCCACTAAAGCAAAGGGAGTTTTGGTGTGGTGACCTCTAAATGAATCCCAGCACAGTCCTTAACCTCCATTCCTTGGACTGAATGGGAATCCTTCCCTGAGCTCCTGGTGACCTAACTAATCCCAATTAGATGTTTTCCACAGATCACCATGACAATGGACTCTCTATTACACCAGCCCTTCCTGCCACCAGCCCTGGGGTGGTGTTTGCACAGATCCACCCTGGCTGAGCTCAGGTGCTTGAGGAGTGGCCCTGCAGGTCTGCACAAGCACACATCACCCACAGCCCAGGCTGCAAACCCCACAGAACCCCGCTCAGCAGAGCGGCATTTCACTGCTCTTTGCAGAATCCACCCTTAGCCGGGGGAAGAAAGTTCTTGCAGTGTTCTGCTCTCGACAGAAGCCTTGCCCAGCACAGCCTGGAGCCCAGCACACACTGAGTGCTGCCAGGGACAGCCCTGAGCCAGCACAGGGACACCATGGGCACCTCCTGGGGCTCTGCTGCTCCACCAGGGGCTCAGCGGGCACGGCTGGAAAAGGGAGAGGCTGCTGGCTCAATGGAAGATTGTGTCAATAAATCGATGGAGAACAAAGTCCAGGTGCTCTGCTCTACCCCAGCTCAGGGCACCCACGGAATCTGCCACGCTGGGAGGGTCCAGCTCTCACACAGGACACCCCCAGAGCCACATCCTGGGCCTGAGAGCGTTTCCCAGATGCTCCTGGAGCTCTGGCAGGGCTCAGGAAAGCCAAGCACGCTGTGGGAGCTGCTCCCAGCCCAGCCCCTGCACGGCCCCGGAGCGATTCTCCCCGCAGAGGAGGATTTTGGGTGCCCTCCCACGCTCGGCTGTGCTGGGTGCTCCCGTTCTCATCCATACTGACACCAAACCAACCCTGAACAAGTTTTATTCCATGTTTTATGCTCAAGCTGCCACAGACAGGAGCTGTTGCTGGGCAGTAACAGGGGCAGAGGCAGCTCCAGATCCCTGCCCTGGGAACGCCGCGCCCGGAGCCCACGCCAAGCACCCACACGGGGCCGTGCCAGCTCGGAAAAGGAGCTTCCATTCATGGGGACAGGAAAAAGAGACCTATGAAGGCTCTGCTGGAACCCTCAGAGCTGCAGGGCCTCAGTCCTGAATGGAGCACCCATGTGGAGCTCCCATACACCCTAAAAGATGCAAATTGTGTTTATATCTTCCCAGCAATTGTCCCTGATGCTTCCCAAGTCTTGCCTTGTGATTACTGACATCTTCTCCCTGCCCACATTATCTCCTTTGGTATGTAAAAACGGGGCCATGGAGCTTTCCCAGCCCCTGGCTTTTGACTTCAGCCTGCTCTCACCACCCCCAAGCACTCACATCCTTCCTTCCACCTGACAAAGTGCAACTTCAGGGTTACTGACTAAATATTTCAGCATCTTTTCCGTTTGTTGCTTGCTTCCTCCTGGTTGTAACTCACCTTTGCAGCCCTCTACCAAGGGCAGCTTCTCAAACACATTCCTTTTCGGGTTTCTTTTAAACTTTATTTTCTCTAAATACACTCACACCACACGCTGCCACCACCCCTGCACTGATTTTCTTGTCTGTGGTCACCCACAAGGCCAACCATCTCTTCAGAGAGCAGAAAACAAGGTGAAGATTCACTTTTCCATGACTCTTACAGGAAGCATGACAGCTACTAAAAAACTTCCAAGAAACACTTGGAACAGTTAAAAAAAAAAAAAAAAGAGAGAGAGAGAAAAGAAAAAACCCAAAACACAAACCCCAAACATCTTTCCAGGATGTGACCAAGTCGTCACCTTGACTGCTCAGCGTAGGAGGACACGACGTGCCTCGAGCTGCCACCCTTCCACCCGGCCCTAGCACAGAGAGGGTGCTAAAAACAAACACAGAGAGCATCTAGATTGCAGCCTTGTGGATAAAATTCTATCACCAGGAGGAATGTAAAAGCCAATTAATCCCTAATGAAGGAACGATTTCGTACACACACTCCTGACTTGCAGCAAGGCTAATTCGTGTTCCCCGGGGTTGCCCTGTACATCTCAAATGCTGTCATGTGTTGTTTCTTCCTTCAAAAGATCCCATTAATTCAGAATATCCCACACATCTCTGTCACTGATGGGGCTTTAACTGCTCTGGACTTGATGTTGTTGCTCTGGCTCAGAGTCAGCCATCAGGAAGCTTTCTAGAACCTGCTGCCCCAAAACCCTTTTAGAGTGTTTAACTCCATGTGCCTCAAGGAAAGAGCCAAGCTGAAATGCAGGGATGGATCCACGGGCTGCTTGAGGACGCTGGGAGGAGCAGAAGCTGCACAGCCCCTCTGCACACCCATCACATGAGGTGGGAGGAAAGCAGAACACATCAGGGTAAATAGGAAATACCAAACGACTGCAAAAGGCTGGAAATTCTTCTCTGGGCTGATACATGGGAAATCCTTTCAATAGGAAACCACAGGAGTAGATTACTGTGATTACACTTCAAAAGCAAAGGCCCTGCCACAGAGAGACATAATTGAGAGAAAGTGTTGCTCCTTGATCACTGAAGTCCAGACCCCCTGCTTACACCTCCCTGCATTCATAGAAATTGCTTCTATTCTCCCTCAATCCCACTATCTCTGCTGTTGTGTAACACCAGCAAGTACCAAAACTCCACAAAACATTGTCCTGCCACCAGTCAAACTCCCAAAAACAAAACTGTGTGGTTTGGTGTGTAAAGACAGTGACCATAAGCCCGTGCTCCAGGGAAACTGCAGAGCTTTTGGGGTAATTTAAGATATTTCTAGACTAAGAGTTTGTAACAGCAAGCCCAGAGTGAGCTTAAAATTGCCGAGTTCAAAAGCTCTTCAAAACACTCTGTGTGATGTGAAGGGTGTCAGGCCCTGTAATGAGGCAGTGCAGTGAAACCAGCTCCAAACAACACCGAGGTTTTCCGCAACAAACAAAAAAGGCTTTAAGCAGACAAGAGGATTCCATGAACAATTCTTTTCAGATTTTGTTCGGTGGAAGAGAAATTTGGCCTCTTGAATGAATAGCTTGGTTAAACTGGAGAGGACTTGCTATTGGTCCTGTCGGGAAAATGAGTAAAGGGAAGAGGCAAATCCCACTTGGGAAGCAAGAGCCAAACCCTCCACAGCTGCACAGAAAAATGGAATTCTGACTTTCCCCATTACCTTATTACATATTTGTATTTTATTGGGCCAGAGGAAGAAAAGGAAGGAGAGTCATTTACTGAACTCTCCAGTTTCAAATCAGCATCATTCAGTTATTGGCAAACGTGGGTGTTGGCCACAACTGGTTTCTTCAGCTGCCCCCCCCAACCCCCCTCCAAAAAATAAGAAGGCAGAAAAAATAAGGAAAAAGCCCTAAGCTCTCACCTTGGCTTTGAAATCTTTCCCTGACCAGCTTTGTTGTCCGTTTTTTGTGATAAAAAAATAATAAGAAGCATTCCTGGCTGTTTAACTGAGAGAAGCCCTAATTGATTCCCACAGTCATTAACCTGCATTTTACCTCGGAGAGTGGTAGTTAAGGAAGTCGGCACTGCTATTTATAACTCATCTCAAATTGAGGGCAGACTGCCTAAAATCTAACACATCCCAGCTGTACTCCTGTTTGAACTGGGGCCAAGGGAATTTTTTAAAGCAATCTTGGCACTGAATGAATGACACCAACAGTAGGAGCGCGTGTGGTTGTGTTGTGGTGACGTAGCGCTGGAGGTGGAAGGGGACGGGGGGGCTGCTCTCCGTAATCCCCCTCCCAAACCCAGCTCAGCCCCGAGCCGCCCACCCAGAACCAAACACAGGAAATGTCTTTTTCCTGTGGAACGCCTTCAAGTGAGAAGCACATGGCTAATCTGCATGAAAGCAAAGCCACGCCACTCCTGCCAGGAAGGTTGTGCTCGGAATCCCTGGCCACAGAGCCGCTGCCTGCGAGGCCTTGGAGCCGCGCCGGGAATCCCAGAAAGGGCTGGGAACAGATGGGAAGGACCCCGGCAGCACCAGCCATTGTCTGGCTGCTGAGTGCTGCTACAAAGAGCAGCCTGGAGAACCCACAGGGAGGTGCCAGCTGCTCCCTGGCCACCCCGCTCTGGCCGCAGAACCGGAGCGAGGTGGAAGTGGCCGGGCTGAGACGATGCTGAGCAGCACCGAGGATGGTGAACACATCCCACAGGCTCGGGACAGGCTGCTCACCTCCCCAGGGGTGAAGCAAGTAGGCCTTGC